TTTAGTTCTGTGGATTGTGTATAAACAGTTCAAAAATTCAGCAGTTACCCCAACAACTTAAGGTGACATAATATAGAGGTGCCAGCAAAGATTAGCATGAACGTAGATCAAGCTTTCCATGAACTTATCCAGGTTATAAGGAAATTTTAAGAGCAGGAATGTCTTCCTTTACCAGAAACAACAAGGACAGAAAAAGATTAAGTCTGCCCTTGTGTCATTTTCTAAGGATCTCTTGAATTTTAGCTACCAACTGCTAAGCAAAGCCCTCCTCTCCTCTCCTCTCCGCACATTTACATCATATGGGAACATTTCTAGCCTTAGACAAATGGTCACCATAGTAACCTTAGATCAAGCCGCTTGCTAATCCTTTCTGTCAACTATGTCAGTTCTGACAATCTATGGTCAACTCAAAACATTTAAAGGAAACACTAAGGCTGCTTCAAAGATTATATGATTCCTTGAAAACACGTATCTGTACACAAGACATTCTTTTTTAAGGGCTTATTCCATTTGAATAGGAATAAATCAGTTTTGGAATGTAAACTGTTTGCCAAGCTAAAGCCATAGGTTGTGAAATAACCTCTGGAATCACATTGCCTATTGTTACTCTAAATAGAAATGGAGTATTTCTAAAATGTGAATTTTTGCCTATCTCTAAAAATTTTGATGTCAACTTTAGTTAGCCTTAAATACACTGACCTGAATCCACAAAGGTGAGTATCTCTAACCTTTATTTGCTGATGCTACAGCCTTTCTTTTCCAGTGGCCAAAATAACCAAAATGCCTATTGTATTTATAGATTAAAAACTGCATATAGAGCCTTTATTATTACTCCTACTCTTAAAGATGCTAATATTCCATGTGGCCAAATATTTGGACTCATTCTGGACTTAGGTGTTACAGTGTTCTTGGTTTTTAATTTAACTCACAGCCATGTTGAGAGTAAAATAATTTGTCTTTTCAAGTATTTCTGGATAAGGAATTTAAAACAAACTTTCTGTTTATAATATAAAATATGGAACTGATCTTTCCAGGGTCGGAGATGATTAATGTTTTGCTATATACTTTTATACATTGTTTTCATACCAAACTAGCTAACAAGTATTTTTATACGTTTGTAGGCAAATATGCTTTCACAGCATACCTTGTGTATATGTAGAGATAAGCATTTAATTCTCACTGTTCACTTTTAACTGACAAAGGAAAAAAAGTGAAAACTACAGAAACTGTGGTAGAACTTGCTGCTCTGATTCTGATTTGTGCCCACCTTTGGCCAGTCACATACCCGCTCAAAAAACCTTCCCTGTAGAGTACAACAGGGTGAGAATCTGAAGTCACTTTGATACCCCCTACGAGATACTGCCTGTTTTTCAAGTAGTAAGTGTAAGACTGACAGTTAGTGTAACTGTGGATGGCTTCTGATTTTGTTTTTAGTTCTGTGGATTGTGTATAAACAGTTCAAAAATGCATTCCTGATTGTGAGATACTAAATGGTACTGCAGATTTGTCACTTTATTGAATGTGTACAACAGTCCCATGAAGTTAAAAAGTGTACCCTTGTATAGCATGGCATGCTAGAATTAAAATTGATCTGTTATCACACACACACACATACACACATACCCACAAAACCAAACCAATCTTACTCCTGACAAGGAATGTAAGGGAATGAGGTCAAAAGATAAGCCCAAGATTCAGCCAAGAAGGGGCTCTCTTTTCTTTTAAAAGTTCTGCATTTTAACTCCAGGGGGGTATGTCTGGCAGAGCACACTGACTGCTGCTCAGCAGTGACCCCTTTTACTTCTTGATTTTTACTAGGGTAGCAATGTGTCTAGCCCCTGGGGAGGAGCTGCCAGTTTCTAAGCTAGTCGTGGCCATCCCAGTCACCTGCTAGATACTTGGATAAATACTTACCCAACTTCTCATTTCTGGCCCATTGAGATAAAAGGGAGTAGGCAGGGTTCTGAGAATTATCTCTTGGTAAAAAGAGATGAAGAGAGTCCTTTTCTCCCTCCCTAATCAGATGAGGACTTCATGTTTGGTGAACCAGGATCCATTTTGTGTTCAAGAAGAGCCAGGAGAATTTGAGAGACAACAGACCTCTATCAGTGACCTGCTCAAGGACCTCTGGAACCTAATAGTTTCAAGGTTGTTCTGTAAATAGTAACTGTCTTTATGTTGCCTTTTCCTGTCAGGGAAGGAGGTGTCCTGCTTCAAGTCTCCCAGTTAAACTGAAGTTAAACAGACGGAGATTGCTTTGTGGACAGCCAAAAGTCTGCATCTGAAACATGGCAGTTCATCTCAGGACGTTTCCTTGAACACTTTCTTCTGAGAGCAGGTTGCTCTCAAAACCAAAGTATTGGGATAACGGTTACATATATGACTTGTGTCTTTTAAAGTTCACACAGTGAAGACATCTTTCATTCATTTGTTCATTCAAAAAGTCAGTGAACAAACTTTTATTGAGGACCTTGTAAGTTTGAGGTACCACTATGCTGGATAGTACAGACACAAGCTAGAGTCCCTGCCCTCCTGGAGACAGACATGAAACAAATATTCCACCAGCAAGTAAGACAACTGAGATCAGTACTGCCAAGGGCACCCTGAGGATGAGTAACTGGGAGATAGGGGTGGGGATGGCAGCAATGATAAGAGAGAGCATCCCCAAGAAGCAAGTAAACTGGTCACCATCTCTTCCCGGTCTATTTCAGGATTCTTCAGCTGAGCAGTGAAGACAGCAGTAGGGATGGAGAGGAGGAGACACCAGGAAATGTAGGCAGTAGAAATGATGGAACTTGGTGGTTAATGAATGTGGAAGGGAGAGGTTGGAGTCAAGGGTGGCTCACAGGCCACTGGCTTGGGCTAGAGGGTGGACAGAGGCACATTCATTAATGCGGTCAACTGCAAAACGGGATCCCAGTCTCCTCTCTGCATCCCAGCCCTTTCAAATGTGACTTTTCAGTCCCTCCACCAAGGCCTGGAGTATATTTCTGCTCCCCTTGGACTTGGGCTGGCACTGTGACTGCTTTGGCCAACAATGCAACAGAAGGGATGGGTCCCACACTAGAGCCTAGGTCACAAGAGGCGTTTTCCGCTTCCACTGTCTCTTGGAACCCTGCTCAGCCACCATGAAAACAAGCCTGGACCAGCCTGCTGGGTGAGGAGAGTCATGTGACTCAGTCGCTGCCCCTTCCCACAGCGCAGCTGCCAGCCAGCTGCCAGCCTCCCACCTCCTGGCAGCTGTCTGCAGATGCATGAAAGAGCCTAGCCAAGATCAGCTGAGCCTGGCCTAGATTAGGACAGCACCCCGTTGACCTATTGACTTGTGAGCAGCTACAAGGGATTGTTTTAAGCCATTAAGTTTTTTGCGGTTTGTCATGTGGCAAAGCTAACTGACACAACTGAGAGAGAAAGAGGTAAGAGTGGGGCTGTCTAAGAGATAATTGTGAGACAGGCACCATGAGCTTAGACAGAATAGGATGAGGGCCTCTGGAAAAAGCAAGGCAAGATATTTACAGTCAGATCAATGTAACTACAGGCAAGGAAACCCCCTACCAAAACTCTGTGTTAAACATTAAGCTCTAGAGTCATTCTTCAGTGAGATCAGTTAATATTCCCCAGATAAAGAAGAGCAGCACATGTTTTTTTTAAGCTAATCATTTGTAATCATGTGTAAGATTCACTGTAGCATGCTAAAAGGCCCAGGCCTATGTGCTGTCTTTCCTCCTTCAGACCTGATGAGGTGATTTGCAAGCTGGGCAACTAATTTAGCATGTAGGCCCTGCCATAAACAACATAGTAAAAGGCAGGAAGAATCCACCTTAAAGATAAGACTGCATTTTAACACCCAAGAAGTTTAAGAAATAAAATTCTTAACTTGTTCTTTAGCAAACAATACCTCAGCCCACCTTAGGGGCTGGGCAGGTGGCCTTGTTTGATATGCTCCCAGACCAAGACACCTGTATCTCGGTATCTCGGGGAGAAATCAGAGCAGGAAATTTAAGTTAATTCTAAATATTCAGGGACCACTTAACAAGTCCACAACCCTAAGCCTTTTTTCACATCCCCAAAAATCCTCAAGCCTATAAAACCCCTAGACAAGGCACCACCATGGGCTCTCTTGTGGGGAGCTCTGTCCTCTCACTGTATCTCTAAATAAAAGCCTCTCCCTGGCTCTCCTACCTTGGGTGTTTGCTAAGTTCATTTTTTCGACTCTGCAAACAAGAAACCCCGGCATCAATTGGACGTAGGAGACTGGAACAAATGAGGCCAGAAGTAGAAGTTCTAACATGCAAGGACTAGATCCCAAGGCTTCCCAAACCCAAGACCAGGCCATATTTCTCTTGTGACCTCTTTGTCCCACTTTCCTACCCCTACCTTAAACTCCACTTTACACCCAGAAGTAAGCACTTCAGTAACGAAGCACATGCATGACTCAAGTGCACAGGACAGTATTAGTGATGGAGAAATAGTTAAGAGCAGGAGCTTTCCAGCAGAGGGAATGCTTATTAGTGTTGACTAATGCGTCAATTCCATGGGCCCCAGCCCCAGAGGGGCTGGCTGTGGAGGCTAGGCTGCAAACTGCTGCCCCCAGGGGCCTTCACAGGTCTGGGGCAAGGCCACACCGATTCCTTGCCCAAGGTCGCAGGTCCTTTATACAGATACTAATTCAAGGCTCTTTCCCCCTCCCTTCCTTTTCCCCTGTTAATGTCACCTTCAGCACCTCTTTAAACAGAGCTGCCTTCGACAGGAATCTATCCCTCCCATTGCTGCAGAAACATCCCGCTGAATGCTTCCTCTTTCTTTGGCCCATAGCTCTTAATCTGATGCCAGGTTCGCCCACTGGTGGCTCTGGTAAGCCAGGCTCGCCTCCGCGGGGTGCAGGGGGCCACCAGGGCTACGCAGGCACAGCCTGACGAGAGCCTCCCGCGCGCTCGGGGCGCTGGCCGCGTTCCCGGGCCCGGAGCCGCGCGGGTCCCGGCCGCGAGCGTCAAGCGGCGAGGCGCTGCGCAAGCCGGCGGTGACAGTCCCTGCGCGTCCGGCCGCTGCCTACACCCGGGGCTGCAGGAAGGGGCGGGGAGAGGAGGGGCGTCCGCGCGCCGAGCCCTTTAAAAGCCGCCGCCGTGACAGCTGGGCCAGCACCGCGGTCCCCGCCTTTCGGGTTCCCACGCTCCCTGCTCGCGGGCCGCGGCGAGGCGGTGCGGCCCGGCGGGAGGCTTGCGCTCAGCGGCGGGACGCGCCAGGCCCGGCGCTCTCCATGCGGCCGCCCACCATGGCCGGGCACTTTCTGCTGGCGCCCATCCCCGAGTCCTCCTCCGACTACCTCCTGCCCAAGGACATCAAACTGGCCGTGCTGGGCGCCGGCCGCGTGGGCAAGAGCGGTGAGTGTCCCGGGGACTGAGCCGGGCGGCCGCCCAGCCCCGGCCCGGCCGGGACAGCCGGGGGCTGGGAGATGAGCTGGAGCTCTGGGCCGGGGGAGAAGGGCAGGGCGCCGGGAAGAACCTGCACCCCGGCCGCCGAGTTCCGGCTGCTCCCCGGGAGCGCTCTCGCCGGCGCTGGCACCTGTTGGCTCATGGGGGCTGGTACGGCTGGTAGAATGCCTCCAGTCATACCTGCCGTGAGACCTGCGGGAGGCCTCGACGGTGGCCCCTTGGTTTTGCAGAGCCTTGAGATGAGGGCACTCAGCGGTTCTGCGTTTCACCTCCTCCTGCATTTCCGCGAGGGTCCCGATTCGACTGTTCTGCCCCAGTCCTTCCGTTGATTTTCCTATTTCCTTTTCAGCAATGATTGTGCGCTTCCTGACCAAGAGATTCATTGGCGATTATGAACCGAATACAGGTTAGAATGATTTCGTGCGCTCTGCTCGTGTGGTTGCATGCTCCAGTTTTCTTTTTCGCGATGAGAGTGCAAGCATTTAAAAGCAAACTCTCCTTCATTCTCCAGGCAAGTTGTATTCACGGCTTGTCTATGTTGAGGGAGACCAGCTATCCTTGCAGATCCAGGACACTCCCGGGGTCATCCAGGTGAGCACTGCCTGGAGCCAGCAGCTCCCCCTTCCACAACCAGGGCCTCCGAACCTGAGCAAGATGTCTGCACACGCCTGCTATGCATTTAGATGTAGGAGTAGGCTGTCCTTAGATGGGGCCAGTCCTTGGGGTTAGAAACCCTCCAAGTGGGGGGTGGAGGGTGGAGGATCAGAGGCAGCTACCTCCTGTCCTCTATCTCCAAAAGGGTGAGAGAGCTTAACTTCTCTTTAGAGCTGCAGGAGGGGCATCAGAGTTTGCAGGGTTTCCCAGCTGGGCCATGGAGCCTTTAACAAAACTAGTGGGGTGGGGTTCTGCAGAGGGTCTTCTTCCCGAGCAGGAACTGGGAAGTGCTTCTGTTTCTAGTGTTCACGGAGTTGGTAATTGCAATCCCATGACCCCTTGGCCAGCTGTCAGGAATGTAACTTGATTAACAAGTTACTAATTGCTCTCCCTTCTAGGGAGGTCTTGTAGAAAAACAGAAAGAAGGAATGTGTTTCTGTAACATTCTCAAGAAGGACATGCTAAAGATGTTTTTTTGTGGGCTTGGGAATCGGTATTTATCTTGGCTTATTTTCAATATTTTGTTTATCCTGAGTTAGTTTCCTAAAAATTGCACCATTCTGATTTGAAAGTTCTCATGGAAGTCATTCTTCAGTCAGCCATAGTTAACCACAGCCTATCTTGCTAAGCAAGGGTTTAAAAATAAAGCATTGTTAACAGCTAATAAAATAATCCAGTCAGGGAGCTTGCCTGAGAATGTACTCTTTCCCTATCAAAATCCTCCTGCAGAAACTGGGTAGAATCTGAAAACTATGTTTAGTGATTTCTTTTTCAAACGTTTTTTTCAAGGGTTACTTTGATGTTATTTTGAATCATGTCCCACCGAGGCTTTTCTTGATCCAGTCTTATTTTGATCTTTCCCAGGTCCAACACAGCCTCACCCAGATGGTTGATTCCCTGTCCAAATGCATGCAGTGGGCAGAAGGCTTCCTGCTGGTCTACTCCATCACAGACTACAACAGCTACCAGTCCATCCGCCCCCTTTACCAGCACATCCGGAAGGTCCACCCTGACTCTAAGGCCCCAGTCATCATTGTGGGCAACAAGGGGGACCTTCTGCATGCCCGGCAGGTGCAAACACATGATGGCATTCAACTAGCCAATGAGCTGGGCAGCCTGTTCCTTGAAATTTCCACCAGTGAAAACTATGAAGATGTCTGTGATGTGTTTCAGCATCTCTGCAAAGAAGTGAGCAAACTGCACAGCATCGGTGGGGAGAGAAGGAGAGCCTCCATCATTCCCCGGCCCCGCTCTCCAAACATGCAAGATCTGAAGAGACGGTTCAAGCAGGCTCTGTCTTCCAAAGCCAAAGCCCCCTCAGCACTGGGGTAAACCCAGCTCGGACTCAGCTCTTTTTTCTCATGCAGCTGAAAAGACTGGAGCGGGTGGGGGGTCTCCCTTTTTAGTCACACGTTCAGAGTTTATTTTTATACAAACTATTGTTTTTCAAGTGTATGTGTATTTCTGAAAATTCAAACAGTGATTGCCTCGAGGTTGGATAGAGTTTTTTTTTAATAAAAGATTTTTTTTTTACTGTTACTGCTAGCCACTTTTCCATTAAAGGCAAAATGGCAACATTGCTCCTTGTTTTTAAAATGTCTTTTTATAGAAATCATACTTGCACCAGAGCCCAGAACTACTCCATGCTTGCCCTCAGCCTGAACTCTGGTGTCTTGCGGTAGGGAGGGGTTGATGCAGAGGGAATCTGTAGTGGGAGAAAGGAAAAGTATGTGGAGGAGGAAAGGGACTTGAATAACAACAGGACGTCTTTAAGGGGGGCCCTTTGCCACAGGCATGATACCATGATACCCTTTCAAGGAAAGGGGTTCACTGTGCTGATGCAAAAAAAATTATAAACATGAATAACGTTATTTACTGACGCAAGTGAAAGTTTATCCTGTCAACCCAAATTAAAAAGCAAAAAAAACAACCCACCACCTTTCCCAGCATTCCTTGTGTCAGCAAGTGTGTGGTACTGGGAGTTGCCTAAAAATCCTCCTTCCCTCTCTGTCTGGCTGAGCCACACAACCAGTAGGGCCCGTGGTCTGCCAGTTTTCTCCTTTTATTCTCTGAAGCATTTTTCTGCCTCAATCCAGGCGTTTATAGCTCTTGTCTGGATTGGCAAGCAAGAGTATAAGCAAATACTGGTTTCCTGACTTCCGGCTTTCCCTCACACCAGAACATCTTCCTAAAATCAATGTTAACAGCACCCCCTTCCACATCCGGAGCCTCCCAACCTGAGCAAGATGTCTGCGCACGCCTGCCATGCGTTTAGATGTAGGAGTGGGCTGTCCTCAGACGGGGCCAGTCCTTGGGGTTAGAAACCCTCCAACTGGGGGGGTGGAGGGTAGATGGTCAGAGGCAGCTACCTCCTGTCCTCCATCTCCGAAAGTTTTATTTTACTTATTTCCATGATTGAAAAACTCCCTTATCTACTGAATAAATATAAATGAGGCTTGGCATCAAGGTTATTCACCACTCTCCGGCCTCCTCACCCCCTCGTACCAAAACACACACACAACTGAGAGCCCATGCCGGGGAGCGGTCTGCCTTTCTCAGTGTGCAGCAGACTCTTCATGCCTTCCTGCCTCAGCATGAACTGTCTATCCCCTGTGTCTGGAATGTCTTCCTCTTCTCCACCTAAAGGATCAACAATGCATCTTTCAAGCCCCAAGTCCCAAGCTGTATTCAGCTCCAGGATGCCTTCCTGGGTCCACTTGTATTTCTGTAGCATTTTTGTTACAGCCCGACCATGTACTGTTCTTTTGGTCACCTCCGCCTTCCCCCCTTGGAAGGAGCAAATGCTTGAGAGCAGTAACTGCGTGTTATGACTGTGAGCCAAGATTCTCGTCCAGGGCTTGCACACGGAGAGGTAGGTTTTCAGTAAACATTTGCTGAATAAGTGAATGAATGTATTACTTTTTGGTGCCAAGATACAATACTGGGAGAATACAATGAAATGGCTTGTCACCTGCAGAACAAGGACAGGAGGTGTTCTGAGTAGTCTAGGTTCTTTATTAGCAGCGACACATGAAGCTGCAGGTTCTGGCCATTGCGTACCATTACCCTTCCTTCCAAGGCTACCTGTCTCCAGATCTATCGTGGTAGCACCATTCTTCCCTAGAATTGAGGGGCATCTACTTACACACAATTGCATGAAGGATTAAGAAAAATAGATAGTTCATGTCCAAAGGAGTGTCCAAATAATTGAGGAAAATTATTATTTTGGATTCCATTACCTTTTAAGGAATGCCCGATTCCCGTTGCTCATTTGCACACCCTCAGAACAAAAGGAGTTGCTCCTCCCATCAGCCGTTCCTGCTTCCTACCATTCATCTTAACATTGTAGGTGAGGCCACAAGAGCAATCACTGTCATGCCTACAGTGTGCCCAGATTGCCCCCGGTTGCCAGGGGCTCCTCTGCCTTTAAGGAACTGCGATCAAACATCCCATGGGGGAAATCATAACGTAATAGCTAAAGGCCGATACAGAGATGTCCTAAGGCAGCCTATGATTGAGTTCCAAATGATCACATGGTAGACAGGAAGTACCCTGGGCTCTCCAGGGAGAGCACAGTATGGGCTGCAGGGGTCAAAAGATGAGGAGCAGGGCAGTCCAAAGGGAGTAAGAGCCTCTAGGGGCCCAGGCAGGCTGGAGGGCCAAGCAGAAAGTGCTCTACCCGGTATTTTTCCTGCCCTCAGCATCCTAGGGAACATATGCAGGGCCTCGTAGCTTCCTTTAGTCTCTGGTCCCCAGAACTGGCCCAGAACATGACCCAGCTCCCTGGGCTCAGAGGGACCTCCGTGCCTGTTGTTACTCTTTCCAGGGCCTCATGCTGGTGCCAGTGGTGTCTCTTGGGGGTCAGGTGCTTGGGGAATATCTGAAAGGCCCTGGGGGATCTGAGGTTTGGGGCTTGTCTGACACCCAGGAGGCCTTTGGAGAGGGAGCTGAGTTCTGAGCCAACCTCAGGACTGGAGAAGGCAGAGCTGGTGGAGCCCTGGGCGGTCTTTGCATTCCGGGTGGGGGCAGGGCTTCTGAAGCATTGAGCAGAGCATTGCAAACTTGAGGGGTGTGGACAGGCCAGTGTCTATACATTCATATCTGGTGGTTTGGCCATACCGTGAGGTGTCATCATGCCTGTGGGGATCCATCCCTGGCCCCTCTTCACCCCACCCCCAGCCACACCTCTGTCTTTGGCATCTTCCGGCCTCCGCTGCCAATGCTCATCCTCCTTCTGGTCAAGGCTCAGTTCTAATTCTGCTCTAAAACTGCAGAATGATTTAATTAACATGCCCACCAGTGTGATCCTGGAGAAATGGATGGAATCCAAACGGCTAAATTGTACATCCTGCAAACGTTCTGTACTTCATATGTGACTCATGAAAAGCAAGCTGGAATGATGGAAAAATAAATCTATCATAGCATAAGAAAACTAATTTGTTTTGCTTGTATTGAGGTGCAGGGCACAACGGAAGTTCTGAAGTTTATTAATATCTGTTTGGAGAAATGGATGAAAATAATCAGCTGTGGAAGACAGTGGTGAACAAAAGAGCAAAATAGGAAGGACAAGACGACTGTTCAGTCATGCATTTGGGGTTCAAATGACTTTTTTGTTCCTTGTATGTGTTGTAATTTCAACTTCTCATTACTCGAAGTTAACCAATTCATATTAACAGTGCAAAGAGATTTGACATGATTAAGAATTCATTCTTACCATTTGATCTGTCTCCAAAAGATAGAATATTTTGAAAGACTTTGTTAAGATTAGTTTTAAGCTACTTTGATGCTCGATAAGAAAAATGTGATATAGGGAAAAAAAGCCAAAGCAATTTTTATAAGAACAGTTTATAGCACATAGAGTAGGAATTTGCCAATCTTAGATAAAACACAGTCAGCCTTCGTGTTTGGATGCCCCCCTGTACTACTGTCCCATTTGAATATCAGCTTCACAGGGACAGACAGGTTCCCATTCATCTTTAGCTCCAAGGTTCCTGTTAGAGTGTCCAGTGCAAAACAGACTCCTCAAAAATATTGCTAAGCTGACTCATCAGAAAAATTAAGGAGTCCCTAACATTACTTTTGGTGTAGCTCATGAGTCCTGTGGATATAAGTCTATCTATATACTGGGTTTCCTCTGTCAAATTGTCAGAGATGGCGCTTCCCTATTCTCCAGGGCAGGCCTGTTTGTGCAAAGCCAGTGTCATTGCTTTCCATTTTCCTCTTATCTCTGTAAAGACCACTGCAATAATGATTTGCATGGCTTCAGATAGCATTTATTGAGACCTGCTTCATGCAAAGCCTGTGCTAAATGTTGTGGTCAAGTGATCTAGACAGCCCTCCTTTCCAGGAACTCAGTTCAGTGGGAGTTTCGGAGGCTGGGCCTTGAGGGTGGGATTCTGTGGGGTGAAAGGTAAAATAAGACTCTGACTTACATCTGAAGGCGTTGACAAAATTAGTGGAGACAGCTGAGCAGGTAGTGGAGACAAATACCCTAAAGAGTGGGAAAGCACCCTTACTCAGAAAATGACATTTCTTACTCTACAAATAGCGTTATTTCCTTTGAGCCATTACTTTGCTCAGTTGAGGATTAATGAGCTAACATTGTAGAATACTTGCTGCCATTTCTTCTTGGCATTCCCTGTTTAAATGAGAAGAACAATGTGAACAGCAAGGCTAACTGATACACACAGATTTTGCCTGGAAATACTAATGTGGATTTATAACTGGAAAAATAAGGAAATTTTAGGAGTTCCTGCTCATGAGGCAGTTACTAATCTGCTTTATGGAGGCAGTATGGGGGTGGTTCCAGAGTGAGAGGTTCAAATCCTATGCTGCCACTGATGGACACGTGGCCTTGGGCAAGGTGTGACGTGAGTTTCCTTACCTTCAATTGGAGACAATACCACCCCTCAGGCAGCGAGCCTGGCACAGGTAAGGTGCTCAGTAAGTTGCACTTGTCTCCCTATTTTTTTAAAGGTACATAGGTACATGATGAAGCTGCTTACGTGCTCAGAAAAGCATAGTACTTGCTTTGAAAGATGTGGTTTTGCCCATTTCACATCTGGGAAAAAGAAGGTTTGCAGGGGAGCAGTTATTCCTGCACTACTAATACCTGACTATTAGGGATCCTTTACTATGTGCTGGACACTTTTATTTTCTCAATAATCCTTTGAGGTAGAATTATTACCACTCCCATCTTTCAGATGAGGAAACTGCGGCTCAAAGAGGCCACACAATGGCCAAGAGTCACACAAGCGAGGAAACCAGGAGGTCTGACTGCAGGAAAGAAAAAGGATCCCCTTCAGCTCTGGTCTGTTCCCCAGCCAGGTCTGTGTGAGTGCCAATGTCTTTTGGAGAACTTGTTAAAAATGAAGATTCTGGGGCCCAGGCCGGGAGGTGCTGCTGCTGTGTATTGGAGCTGCATTTTAATGAGCTCCCCAAGTGGTACTGTGGCCGGATGTCTCATGCTTGGAGCTTTCAAAAAAGACCAGAGTCTGGATTCTCCCCACACTTCCTGTTTATCCAGGGGAAAGTCGGAGAAGGCAGGAAGGCTGCCCAGGGAGGGGGTGGGGGCTCCTGC